GATTCAGAAACTACTCAAGAAACAGCTATATGGTGTTCTATGCCCTCTGATGTCATCAGCTGTAAGATGGGCTTCATACTGAATCTTTATAATGTCACCAAGCATCCATTTTTCAAGAAGCCACCCACCCCCTCTTCATGATGATAATGGTTTTTCTTTTTCTTTTCTTTCTTTCTTTCTTTTTTTTTTTTTTTGAGACAGGGTTTCTCTGTAGCTTTGGAGCCTGTCTTAGAACTCTCTCTGTAGACCAGGCTAGCCTCGAACTGCCTCCCTCCCAAGTGCTTGGATTAAAGGTGTGAGTCATCACCTCTTAGAAATAGTGGTTGTTTTTAAGGTAGACTGTGAGTCCCCACGGGGCAGGTTGCACCCTTGGCTGCCCATCAGCACCACAGAAGTAGATGTGAGCCTTACTGTGCACAGGCTTCAGAGTGATTGATGTGTGTGAAGGTGTCAGTCCTCCAGACCCTGGCTGTTACTCTATTACAAGGCTGGGAGGTAGCCCAGATGACTGTCCTGGCAGCGTAGACTTTGAGGAGCTCAGTCAGAAGAATTTACTGACCTTGAAGTCATGGAGGCTGAGGACTTATATAATTTAGTGAGGATGCTTCAGACATGTTTCCAAGCATATGTAATAGCATTGTTGGTGGCTCGGCAAGGCTAGGGGGCAGTGGGAGTCCCACTGCTTTGTGCAGGGATATAGCCATGCCTTCCCACCACCAACAAAGGAGCCTTTACTTCCTTGGCATTTCCTCTATTTAGCTTATCTCTCTGTGGGCCTTATTTTCTTCCACAGAACGGTGCTGACCCCTAAGGGTACCGTTGACACTTCTAGGCTGAGGGTTGCTTGCAGTATTAGGCAGCAAAGGGACCAGGCAGCTCCCATGAGGTGGCAACTTCTGACACTGTAAACCGAAGAGTCAGAGACATGGGCCTCCTGCCTCCAGTTGCTTGGCACTCAGGAGCGCAGCATCTGTCAGTGGCCTGTGACGGGAAGCCTCCCCCCACACACTTTGAAGGGGCAACAGATGGCTGAGGAATTCGTACCCCTGGGAGAACTGTCCCAAGAGTGACAGTTTCTGCTGGTCAAGCGATGTTCCCCCCAGGGAGGCTATCTCCTACGGAGCTGAGGTCCTTGGGAAGGTAACTTTGAGAGCCACCAAAAGCCTCTTTTCAGACGCTGGGAGCGGCAGCAAGCAGCCTGGCAGTTCTTCAGCAAATCCTAGAGAAGGAAATTGTGGGTGAAGGGGCCACACACAGGATAAAGCGGTCTTGTGAGTAGGAAGGATGGCTGTAGGCGGCTCCTTTCAGATGACAGAAAGTGGGTGTTAACCGAGAACCTTCCCTCTCCCCAGATGGGTTTGAGCCATGCTAAGCAGCTGGAATCCTCTAGGTACAAAGTCGGTGCTGTCATCCAGCTCCAACTAAGACTTCGCTACACTTCTTGTGATTCTATGGGATGGTCTTAGGTCCCCATTGAACAGTAAAAAGTGAGGCCCAGGGCCAGTCTCCTAGTCACACAGTTCACGAGACTGGAGGAATCACGGTTTAAATTTAAATCCTTCCAGCTTCCGACTTTATTGTTGAAGTAGCCATGACAGTACACTCATGCCAAAAGGAGTCACTGTTGAAAAGTGCTTAGAATGCCTGCTGACATGAAGGCATTAGTGAGGTCATCTGCATATCAATTTAGAAAGCACTTTGTATTTGTTCCAATAATCAGATACACAAACGTCTCGCCAGTCATTTATTATAAAATCCTCCACATGTGACTGTGCCCAGATTCGCCTCCACTTCCCAAGTTCTGCACACATCACTGCTGTAACCTAGAGCACCCCCCTCATCCTAAACATGTTCTGTTACCTGGAGCAGATTGCAGGTCTCTGTGTGGCTTCTGTGAATGTAGCTGGCATCGCTCCACCCTTGATCTTTTTCAGGGCAGGATTATAGGAGCAAAAGATAGAAAGCCAGGGAGCACCTGGCCAGGCGGAGCAGGTCTGTCCCAGCTGAGGCAGGAAAGTTGCAAATTCAAGGCAAGCCTGGGTGATTTAGTAAGATCCTAACTCAATAGAAATGATAAAACTGGGGTATGCAGCTCAGTGGTAGAGTATTTGCCTAGCATGTGAGAGGGAAGAGGGGGAAAAAGAGAGGGAGGGAGAGAGGGAGGGAGGCTTACTCTTTCTGTATCCTGGGCACAGGTGGCCTTGGAGACCTTTGGGTGTAGCTTCAATAACTGAGAAGCTGAAATTCACCTGGCATAATTTTATTTGTTTAAATTTAAATATCCAAACCTGGATAGTGGCCATGAGCTGTTAACCAGAATCTTAACACTGCAGCTCAAAAGTCAGATTCTGAGCCAGGTGATCAGGGTTAGAAACCCAGCTCTGTGAGCAGATGTCTTGGTCCCCTCCTCTGTTGGATGAAGACACATCAATGCTCATTTGCCCTGTGGAAGCTTGTAAGACAATGATGAACCTGTGTGGAAGGTACCTAGGGGGTCCCTGGCACATTGCAGATGCTGCATAGGTGTGACATTTTTAATTTAATGTAGAAATGAAGATTATCATGCTGCTGTTTCTTTTTCATTGGAAGCTTCTAGACCCTAAGCCCAAACCAAGAGTGATCTTCAGGCGTGGCAAAAGGTCAGAACAGAAGGCGCCGAGGAACCTGAGTGCAGCTAATATCAGCAAGCAACAGAATGAGACAGAGTAGGATTGGCCTGGGAAGAGAGGTTCCGGGGGCTGCCGTGACTAACTGTCCCTCCATTGACAGGAGAGAAAGTGTGTTTTCTGGGTAAGGAAGGCATGTGCGGACACTATGGTCTTGTGAGTCAGGCCAGGGATAGGATTCAATAGTGACTGTTGCAGGGTTTTGAGGTCATTCCATGTCATCTCATCATATACATGGAGCAGGCAGGTGGGGTCTGCCTCATCAGGCCCCATCTTCCCTCATTCCAGACTGAACCTCCTCAACGTTCACTCCCCATTGCACACTCAAGTCATGAAGTAAGAGAGACCAAGCCAGGGATCACTGCTAATGCCCCAGACTGCATCGATGCTATACTTCCCTGCTCTGAGTCACTGTTCTGCCTGTCCATAGCCGGCTGGCCCAAGGCCACGCCCATGGGTGAAAAGCTGAGAGGGCAGTTGGGGGTGTTCCCATTGCATCACGGCTCCAATCTGGAGTGGTCAGAGGATGTGTGTGGGAAGAGTCCTTGTTTCACCATGCAGTCTCTGGGGCCGCTTCAGGGGATTTGGCTGCGACATTCACCTCACAGACAGGAGCCTGACCTCAGGGTGGTTACGGCTGGTCTTCTGTTAGATAGCATCTGGACCAGGCATGTCCTACACTGACATTCCTAAACACGCATGTGGCCCTTGGTGCTCTGGACAGCATCAATCCCACTGTTCTGGAGCACATGAAACTATGCAGGGTACCTAGACTCTGCAACGACCTCTTAAAATGCTAGCCCGGCCACTGACTGTCTGTGGTCCCCTTAGCTAGTCACTGTTCTTCCTGCAGTCCTTGGCAGAGCACAGTTACTAAGGTGTTTAGTTTTGGGAACACAAGTGTTCAAAGCACCTATACTGAGAAGCAAAGTGGGGAAACAGCCCAGCCAGTAATGAGCTTGTCTAGTGTATTGGTTTGAATAAGAATGACCCCTGCAGACTCTTATATGCTAAAGCTTAGTCATCAGGGAGTGACACTGAGGATTTGGAAGCAGGACCTTGTTGGAGAAAGTATGACATAGATGATGGGTTTTGAGGTTTCAAAAGCCCATGCCAGGCCCAGTCTCTCTCTCTCTCTCTCTCTCTCTCTCTCTCTCTCTCTCTCTCTCTCTCTCTCTCTCTCTCTCTCTCTCTCTCTCTCTCTCTCTCTCTCTCTCTGCTCCAGCACCATGCCTGACTGCTGCCATGCTCCCCACCACGATTGCAATGATTGCAATGAACTAAGCCTTTGAAACTGTCAGCCCCCAGTTTAATGCTTCCTTCTATAGGGGTCGCCTTGGTCAGGGTGTCTCTTCGCAGCAATAGAACAGTGACTGAGATACCTTACAAGTGTGAGGACCTGGATGCATCCCCAGAGCCCACATAAGGCTGGAAAAACGGCTCAACTGTTAAGAACACAGGCCGCTCTTGCAGCGGCCCCTGCAACAGTGCAACAGTGGCTCACACCACCTGTGACCCCAGTTCCAGAGGACCCAATGCCCTCACTGGCCTCCCTGGGCAATAGGTATGCACATGGTGCACAAGCATACACATGGAAAAACACATTAAGAACAAAAAATTTAAAAAAGCTGGGTGTAGCGGAGTGGCCCGTGATTCCAGCAGCGGCAGAGGCAGGAGGACTCCTGGAGCTCACTGGCTGGCTGAAACATTTCTAGGCAATGTTTCAGGCTAATGAAAGACCCTGGCTCAAACAAAAGGTAGGTGGTGTCTGCAGAAGGGCCTCCCTAGCTGTCCTCTGACCTTTGCACACTTGGGGGTGGGGGTGGGGAGCCAGGTTTCTGTTTGGTCCTGAGCTTTAGAGAAATGAGCACCTCAGGAAGTCAGAAAATGCTTCTCCAACCCTACACGGAGGCTGAGTTTAATCCTCAAGCCTGGACTGGTGTTCTGTCCCTGAATCTCCATCACTCACTTAGGCAGGGTGCATGGTGACACATGACATAGCCTGAGGATGCATGGCCACACCTGGGTCCCTGCCAAGCAGTTATGGAGCTCTCATGCTCTGGAAAACACCTCCCCTCAGGCATGGGGCACTGGAACTGACCTGCTCAAGCTGCCGGCAAGGGAGAGCGTCAGATCCCATGCCTGCGGCCCTATAAGGACAGACAGGAGGTGTGAGTGCCTCTTCCCAGACATGAAGAACAGCTTGTGGCATCCCGCACCCGAGTTCACCAATGATCCCCAGAAGGGTGTTTTATTGGCTACAAAATGCAATTTCACACCAGACCTGGGACTGCCCTCCCAGGCCCACGTGAAGTCTTTTTTTTTCTGCACTTGGTTTATTGATGATGTCACGACATGCCCTGTCAACCCTTAATTAGAACCATGGCTACAGCTCTAAGCTCCGTTTAAACCGTGAAAGCCAGGGCTTTGGAAGGGTCCCTCAGAGGGACTGGCGTCAAATGAACCAAGGACCCCACCGGCTCCCTGGGTGTCGCTGGGAGTGTTCCAGCAGAACCTAGGATCTTCCAAGGTGCTGGGCTCTGCAGGAATGCCAGAGTTTTAGGCCCATGCACTGTGCCCCCCCCATCACACATTTGCATCCCAAGGATCTCTTATTTGAGTGTAATTATGGAGCTGCTGTCATCCTGGAGCAGGGTGAACCCCTAATTGAGTATAGTTGGCATCTTTACAAAAAGGCATGGAGATGATCAGGGGATACTGTAATGACAAAGACAGAGATCAGGGTGACATTTCTACAGGCAGCAAATGCACAGACAGGAAGAGACCTGGAACCAGCTCTTGGGGCCTCTTCATTCCCAGTGTCCAGTCTCCCAATATTCAGGGTGACATATTTTGTGGGTTCACCGTCTTTGGACGCAAGGTGTCCAAAGATCTATGCCTTCTCTTGAACTCAGCCCCATTTTACCTGGTGCTGCCTAGTTTAGGGGCAAGGAAACCAAGGCTGGCAGGAGAGGCTGCAGACTTAGGTTGTAAGCAGGATGTCTCAGCCTTGGTGACCAGTGGCTATGGCTCCGGTATGGGGCTCAGAAGCTCCCCTTGTTTGTCCATACAAGACCCCTCATGGGGCTAAGGAGCTGCTCAGAGGGCACCTCATGCTGGGGCCACCAGACAGGCTCTCCCTGATGAATCAGTCTAACTCCAGGTCTTTACACACAGCCTCTCTGTCAACTGCTCAGAGCTTCTGTCCCCATTTATATCTCGTTTCTAGGCAGCAGCCCCCAACCCCCCCCACCCCCAACCCCCCCACCCCCCACCCCCCAACCCCCCCACCCCCCTCACCCCCCCCACCCGGTGCTCAGAACCACCCAAGCAAGGCAAACACACTTGGCGTGGCTGACTTAGGGTTTCACACCACTCCCCTTATCAGCTAAGTGACTTTCACCAGATGAGGTTTTAATGAGTTAAGCAAGCACTGCTATTTCTCTGCAGGTCTGTTTACATGAAAACAACCTACTGTGTGCACTGGTGATATGTGCTGATTTCATAGTTACAACAGTGACGGGTTGACAGCTAACCTGATCTAGTTGAGATGCCAAGGACTCGCCTGTGACTCACACTTGCGTAGATCTCTGCCCTGTGTGGAGACCAGAGACCACTTCACCCGGCTTGAACCCATCACCCAATTGGCACCTCCCACGTGGTTATCCAGTATGTGTGTTACAAAGCCAGTGAGGGCAGGATCCCCTCACCATAAAACTCCCTCTGTGAGGGTGTTACTTCCTAGATGGCCACAGGCAAAACACACCTCAGGTCTGGGTTGTTCTCATGACCTCTGATATTGGGCTTTGAGGGGCCTTAGTGGCCTCCCAGACCCTTTACAACGAAGGGAAGAAGGAACTTTTAACCACATAGCTTCCCCCAGATTCTCATCCCACGACTTGTGCCGCCTCGGATCAGGACCAGGGACTTGGAGCAAAGGGTCACACGGTGGGGAATGAGCTCAGCAGCTCAGTTACAAAGAAAGCCTGGGCTAAGGAACACCAATTGGTAACAATTAGAAGAGGGTCGGGTAGGTGAGGGAAAGTTCAGAGTTCAGTCGCCCTCTGGGTGTGTTTATCTATTGTTAACCTGTGACTGGCTATCAGCTTCCCCTATCTCTGACCTGGCTTGCAGTCTCTCAGGAGGTATTGGCACTCCACACTGCTCAGCCCGTTTCTGAAATGACAGAAGGCACATTTCTCCAAGTGTCTGAAGCATTGAATACCCCACTGCCTACCAGGAGCAGGAAAACACTGGCACCCAGTCCGGGTGGCAGGCAGGAGAGGTGAAGACTGTGGCTTGCTGAGAGCCTGTCACCGAAAGTGACAGCCCTGGAGGAGCCCAGCTCCTGTTTCCATAGGGGTATTCTGCCCGAGGTGGCAAGGTCTTCTGGCATATCAGGAGTAGCTATTTGTCTGCGTCATAGTTGCGATGTTCCCATTTTAAAAGCACCGTAAATCAATAGATACGCCAGTGGCTGTTGAAGACTCCCAAAGTTATGGAAGGGCTTGCAGCTTCTCTGCACTTGTTGACCAAATCCTTACTCATCACACAGAGGAACAGATTCCGGTGTTGGGAAAATAGAATGCCCGCTGGTGAGAATTCCACAGCTACACCTACGCACTCTGTTCTGGGGGGAGGGGCAAACTGAGCAAGGTTTCCATGGTGATTTGAGAGATGCATTATCAAGACCCTATGTTACCCTGTGAAGGCAGCACCCACCTTATTCTTGGTTGGGCCACTTCCTGTCAACCCTGGAGTCCCTGTCACTTTGGTCCCTCCCTGTAGCCTTCCACTCATGGGCTCACAAGGGTGTGTCTGTGTCATCAGTGGTCTATGCATCTTTATGAGGTTGGTGACTTCGATGAGAAACCTGATTCTCATTTGCGGCTCTGCTTCCCTACCATTCTCCCTGGGGAGTGGCACCCAATGGCACAGGATGTCATAGGATGATGCAGGGTGACTTCTCTAATGGGGCGGAGCCTCAGGAGTGTGTGTGTGTGTGTGTGTGTGTGTGTGTGTGTGTGTGTGTGTGTGTGTGTGTGTGTGATGCTGAGGTGGCCAGCCTTTTTCGGCTGGATCACTTCCATGGGACGTTCTCATCCTGCCAGCTCCACAAGCAGGTCTCTGCCCATTGGTGCTTAGAACTCACAAAAGGAACAGTAAAGGAAAGGCCTGTGGTCAGGGACACATCTGGGGGAAACCGGGTCTTGGATTTTGTGGTTGAGTGCTGGTGATGTTCACCCATCTTCTCAAGGAAACCAGCTCTGTCAGATGTACCTTTTGTTAGGAGATGTCCATTTGTTGGCAGTCTCTATAAGGCAATAGAATCTTCTAGGGAGCTGTATAGCCTGAAACCCATGTACATTTGGAATCGAGTGTGTGTGTGTGTGTGTGTGTGTGTCTGGGGGAGGGGATGACAGGAAGGGACTAGAAGCAAATGGGCACATGTCCTGCTAGGTCTGATTCTAGGAATAACCTCATGTGTGAGCACTCACAAGTATATTGGGTAGCTAGAAGACAGAACCAGGCTAGGCATTTGGGTAGTAAGGCCAGTGAGGACAGCTGTGAGCATCTGGAAAACTGGCCTATAGGCCACAGACAACAAAGCCAACTGAGGCCTGCTGTTGGGTTCCAGTACCAGAGCTTTCTTCTCACTGAACTGGGGTCTCCCCCCCCACTCCACCCCTACCCCTCTTGCTCTGGCTAGTCCCCAGGGCAATGCTGTCTCACAGTCCAGGTCCCCTTCCAGGAGACATGGAGTCCCGAGGTGGAATGAACAGCAAATAGACCAACAGGTCAATTCCCTTGGATACAAGAGGGGCATGGCTGCTGCAACCTCTCAACTTGGTGCATTTTGTCCCAAAGCCAAGCACACTCACGACACAGCAGGAACCAGGACCAGCGCTCAGCCCCTCTCACAGTCACTTACTTCCAACCCCGCAAGCCTGCCTTCATAGCTGCCCGGAGCTGAGGCTGAGCTCCAAGTTCTCTGCTCTGCGGCACTTGCACTTGTGCTTGGTAGCTAACATGGCAAAGTCTTTTGACTTAGAACTGGCGGTGCATGCCATGTGTGGGAGAGCACCCGATGAGACTCCCTTACCTTCCTGCTATCATCTTCTCATTGTGCTTGTGTTCTACAGGGACTACTGCTTGGTGATTTGAATCTTGGCTATGTATCTGCCATGAGGATTGTAAATTTTCAGGCTGTTTATCACCTTTCAATATTACATTATACATTTAAAAAATATGTTCTGTATCATTTTGTTTTGTTCAACCTTGAACAAACCTGGCTGAACAAATATGTATGTATGTATGTATGTATGTATGTATGTATGTATGTATGTATTGCTTTTGACATGGAGTCTCATGTAGCCCAGGCTAGCCTCCAACTCACTATGTAGCCAAGGATGCTCTTGAGCTTCTGATCTTCTTCCCTCCCCTTCCCAAGTGCTAGGGTTACAGTCGTGAACTGCATGCCTGGTTTGTACAGTGTTGTGGGTGGGACTTCGAGCATCCCCAGTTCTGAACAAAAAGTAAATCCTCACTGATGATCCTTATCTTGGTTCCCTTTTTATGTGAGGCTAAAATTTGCCAACTGTTTTCTCTCACATGAAGAGACCTCAAATAGGTCTACAGAATTCCTCCCTCACTGGTACTGTCTGCTATCTAGTCAGTCCCCTCTTTGCTGATAGGCTAGTCTTACATGCTTCATCCCCAAGGACAGTGATGTCATCTTCTCCCCGTTTCCTAAATGCCCTTTTCTTTCAGCTGCGGTTGCAGTCAAAGGAGTTGTCAGAACTGTGTCTAAAGTGTGAGTCACTCCATCACCAGTAAGATCCTTGGGTGGTCCGCGTGAGTGAACTGTGTTCATTGCCACAGCCACACTCTAGAACTTCAGTCACGTGAACCGGTGCTAATTCTTGGCTTCCTGTCCAATGGTTAAGAGTGCTTGATACTTCATGCCCCACCCACTTAAGTGAAGTGTTGCTACACAACAGGAAAGCACAAGCCAGCAGACCACAGACTTGACTAAGACTGTCTCCGCCCTGGCTTCCTCCCCTCTTCCCCCAGCATTCAAAACTCCAGCATTTGAGATCTTCCCACAGTGTCTCCAACCACAGGGCAACTTGAATTCTGAACAATTCCAGGGATGGACAGACCCAGTCTTTTTCCAGAGTATGCCATCTCATGTAGCGCTCCTCCTCACAAAACAGTGCTTGGAGCAGATTCCCTAGAACACCGGCTCACAGTCTTCTGCCTGCCTTGGCCGGGCTTAGCTCTCCCTGTGCCCTCTACATAAGACCAACGACGATCCTGTGGGGGTACATAGAGCTTTCTCGTGGTCCTGGACCACCAGCAGAAGTATACCCTTCCACTTTGTGGGCTGTGAGCCAGGAGACACTGTGGGGATGGCTTTGGGCTTGACAAACCGAGCCACTGTGAGCTTAGCGATGGTGTTAGCTCTCAAGCGTGCCAAATCCCAGTGAGGTCATCGCTGTTCCAACACAGTTAGCTTTCCCCAAACACAGCAAGGAACTCGCTGGTGTGCAATTCACACATCAAGTGTCAGCCTAGAAGGTTCTAAGTCAAGGTCCATGGGGTGTTTCCACTTCTGAAATCCTGGCTGCTGCTCTAGATTGGCAACTGGTGGCAGCCTCCTTCCAGGGCTTCTGGTGGTTTGGCAGTGCGTGCCTCAGGCTGGGCTACCGGGCTACCACCATTGGTTCTTATCACCACAAGTAGAGAAACCCCCTTAGGCACATGTTAGCTTCTGATCAGTGACCTGGTTACTCAAAAAGGCAAACTTGGGCCTTCAAGCATCTGAGGAAACACCAACTCCACAGGGTCCTTCCAGAACCTCCCTGGCTACCATGGGACACCACTGTATTGGTCCTCACAACTCAGGAGACAGTTTTTTAGGCTAATTCAAGTCATTGGTATTAGAAGGCTTGGAGTTCAGTGTGGGATCACCAAGACTATGTCCAATGGACAGAACAGGTCAAAAGGGGTGCTTCCTTGCTGCCTAAACACAATGACTACCCTTCTGTGGGTTACAAAATGCCATCATGTGGTTATAAATGTCCACAGTGCTGGGTAAGAATGCAAATATCTAGAATTCTCTTTCTCTAGACTGTCATTGTTGTCTCATCTGTACCATGGGTGGATGGGCCCAGATTGTGAAAGTGCTTTGTAAATATAGGGTTCATGAAGTAAACTGGGTTATCTGGGGGAACAACCATAAAACCACATAACCACCCCACACTTTCAAGGCAATCAATAAAGCACACATGTCAGCATTGGCCATGTTGGTATGCTTACAGAACGTAGGATGCTGTTTCCATTGTCATAATCTCTACCATCATCATCATCAACACTGCAATCCTAACCTTCACCACTGTCACCATCTGTAGGGGGCAGAGGAAGCCCTGAATGAGGGAAGTCCTAAGAGAATGTGTATTGTTGACAGATATGACAAAGATCAAACATTAGACTCATGAGAACTTAAAAACTCATTTCCCATATGGGTCAGTCTCAAAGGGGTGGCAAAGCTTTCCCCAAGTATTCCAGTTTGAGCAAGTGACCAGTGTGTACAAAACTAGCAACAGAAGCTTCTTCCCTCTGAACGTTTATGGCCTGGGGCTGTCCACCCACAGAGACCTCCTACTGATGCTGTGTTACCTATCCACAAGTGCTGTACATAATAAACTCACGGAGGTTTCTGGTTGCAGTTGTAGCAAGTATCACTCCATCAGAGTAAGCATAGCCCACCTGACCCAAGTTTCACTAACCGTGGCATCTGTGTATTTGTCTTTTTCCTTTGCTGCCCTTAGTCAGAACCATTATGCCAGGACTCATTGGACATGGCAACCATCACCATCATCACCGCCACCACCAAACCCTTATCACCACTATCACCATCATCACTACCACATTATCACTGTCACCACTATCATCCCCTTATTGTCATCACCATTCTTACATCATCATCATCACCACCACCATCTGCACTATCCATCAGCACCATCACCACTGTCATCATTACACCACTATCACCACCAGCTGCATCACCATCATCGTTACATCACTGTCACCGTCATCATCATCATCATCATGTCGCCATCAGTATCCTCACCATCTTCGTCAACAAGTAAAATGTCTTATGATGTTTACATGGGCTGAACTCTGGGTAACTCATGGTCACTTTAGAAGGAAACCAAGACTTGACTCTTTATGCTCCGCATTTGATTTTTACTCCAACAACACGACTGCAACACTTAAGGAAGGGGCGATTGCCGACTGTAGCATACCAGGGGGAGATAGACAAATGCACTCTGTCCAGCCCTGCTTCCTGTTTGTGGTGTGCCCTTTTGCTGAAATGACACTCTGACTATCCAGTAGTTATTTTGCACAATAGCAGGCCACAGGCATGAGCTGGCCTTCTCTGTTTTTAAGATGACTATTATGGAAGTTTGACAGGACTACATACATAGTATTTTCACCTAGGTCCCATTTCTTGCTCATCTACACAAAGGCATGAA